TTACCAAACTTTAGAGGTTTCGTACAGTTTTACGAAACTATTTTAAGTTCCGTGGCATGGAAATGGTTTCGTAAGTTTGATACGGAACCTTTTTAAGTTCGGAAATTTGCAAAGGGTTTCGAAGTTTCACTACGAAATCCTCCAGAAGTTCCGTTCATTTTGTACTGAACTTTCGATGGTTTCGTATCTTTGGTACGAAACCATTGATAGTTTAGTAGAGTAGGTAAAGGTTCCGTACTAGTTCTACGAAACCATTCATAGTTCCGTAAGTGCTCTAATAGTTCCGGAAGCTGTATGCGAAACTAGCTGTGGTTTCGTAAAAAATATACTGAACCATTACATCGTTTACCAAGCTATGAATAGTTTCGTACAGTGTATACTGAACCTTTTGATGTTTTGCGAAACCACTGATAGTTTCGTGGAACAGACAAAGGTTCCGTATACCTTATACGAACCTATCGAAAGTTTCGTAAAACATCAAAAAAGGTTCAGAATGCACTATACGAAATTGTTTATAGTTTCCTCAATGATATAATGGTTTGGTATATCTTTTACGAAACCGTGACTAGTTTCGTACAACATTTCCGGAACAATTAGAGCACTTATGCAACAATGAATGGCTTCCTAAAACTAATACGAAACCTTTAGATGCTCTACGAAAATACAAATGGTTTCGTGTCATATATACAGAACCTTCAGATAAATAACGAAACTCTGGATGGTTTCGTATAAGGCATACGAAACTATTATATGAGTTTAGAAACTGTCAATGGTTTTGTAAAATGTCTCCAGAGCCTTTGCAGCATATACGAAACTATGCATGGTTCCGTAAAAGATATGCCGAACCATTGCATCATTCACGAAAGTATCGATGGTTTCGTGTCACGCATACGGAACCTTTAGATGCTTTACGAAACTAGCAATGGTTTCATATAATGTATACGAAACCATCAATAGTTTCGTACAATTTATCCGGAACCACTTTACTACTTGCGGAATTAAGGATGGTTCCGTGTTCTATGTAGAGAACCTTTATATATTCTACGGAACTATCAATGGTTTCGTATATTGTATACAGAACCGTAATAAAGGTTGTGAAACCATCAATAGTTCCGTACAATCTATAGGGAACTATTTTACCACTTACGGAAATAACGGAGGCTTCGTATTGTATATACGGAATGATTGTTGATTTCGCACAATGTATATGAAACCATTACATAAGACTTACAAAATGATCAGAAGTTTCGCATAACAAATACAAAACGTTTTGATGTTCTAGAGAGCCGGTCATGGTTTCATTAGTTCGCTAAACGCTCCCTTTTATTGTGCGACATCAATGATAGTCTCGCAAAATACCTTAAGTTTTATCAGTTCTCGCATAGAAACTGTTCAAAGTCTAATAAGCGATGACAGGGTCGCTCTGCTTCGCTTGAAAGCATATGCAATAATGAAAACTATCGAAAATTTCTTATTTATTTGTTTGGCTAGGAACGTTTCGATGTTTGCTATAATACTTTACTAGAGAACACTCATTGACACAACAGTACAACAAAATGCAGCAAAGCTTATTAACGAAAATTGGAGGCATAAGAAGGAAATATTCAAGTACTGCCCGTACAAATACATAATGCATAAACCACAGAAAAAGATCAATGGATGGCACAACGAAGTGATTATACAGATAATGTGAAGTTTATTTATCAAATCCAATATTCTAACTAGCCGAGTCTCGAGAAATAAATTAACAATGTTTAGCACTCAACGAAATAAGAAAAATACATTTTGGATGTAGGTATGGGTGTCGGTGTGAGTCGGTGTGGGTGTGAGTAAGGGTATACATGTGAGTGTGGTTTTGATTCTTCGCTTCATCCGCACTAATCATTCGCCTACATCCACAAATTTTAGCTTCACCCAACCAACGCTTTATATACTAAAATTTTCCAAAACATATGTATTTATTCCTTCACCCGATATTTTCACTTGTATCCTATCATTTATAATATTAAGCATTAACATTGAGTACTTGATGGATATCTATAAGGAGAATCATCGATTAGGTCTTCTAAATTAATGAGGGTCACCATGCAGTAAATGATTATTATGTATAAAGACCAGCAATAGGTAGGCCATCTGTATTATTGAAGGCCAGCATTGAGTAGATGGCCAATACCCAGGTCAATCATACATGGCTGTACACGACTGTTAGCCACCTAATTATGGCGAATAAGAGTGATTGTTTCCACCAGATCTTTACAACAACTGTAAACGATGCCTCCCAAAATATTACAGTTAGTGTACATAACACCCGTCAAAGTCGGTCGTAAACGGCTAATGTACCAAAACGGCACCTGTCTACACTCCTTGCGAACCAACGTAAAACGAGGTATTGTTTACTTCCATATAGAGTAAACCTTGAGGACTTATGGACACCTTACTAGAATAGGACTTGTAGACTTCTGAGTACTCCCAGTAGAATAGGATTTGTGGACTTATGAGTCCCTCTATAGGATAGAACTTGAGAAGCTGCGGGTAACCCCATAGAATTAGCTTTGAGAGCTTATGGGCACTCATATGAAATAGGACTTGTGGACCTCGGAATATTTACATAAGATAGGACTCGTGGACCTGTGATTACCCACCCACAGAATAGAACCTTCGGAGCTATGAATATTTCTATAGAATAGAATCAGCCTCGACGATCGTTCATGGGTTTCAAATTTAATCTTTGATCTGCGACGGACAAACACACAAACACGTTTTATTTCATATGGCCTACCTTTATTCGAAGGGAAAAGTGAGATTTTTGCTGAAATTTTTATATTCTTTCGAAAATCCCTTTTGAGGTTCTGTACGAAACTATAGAAAAGCGGAATGTGTAAGGACAGAGAACATGTCGTGCCCCACATACTCAGTAAAACTATTATTTACAAAGTTTCTTTTTTATAATACCTTCTAATTTTTCCAAAAGCCCATCGTGAGATTTTGTACGAAACCTTGGAAAAACGGAATGTGTAAGGACAGAGAACATGTCGCGCCTCACATACTCCGTATAACTATTATTTACAGAGTTTCTTTTTTATAATACCTTCTAATTTTTCCAAAAGCCCATTGTGAGATTTTGTACGAAACCTTGGAAAAACGGAATGTGTAAGGACAGAGAACATATCGTGCCCCGCATACTCAGTATAACTATTATTTACAAAGTTCCTTTTTTATAATACCTTCTAATTTTTCCAAAAACCCATTGTAAGGTTTTCTGCGAAACCCTAAAAAATGGAATGTGTAAGTACAGAGAACATATCGTGCTCTATATAGTGAGCCTAAGAGTTTTCCGTTTGGAATGTTGAGTGAGTGATAACTGATAACATTAGACAAACGTCTTTACTTTTTTTATGAGTTTCAACCATATGTTTTTTTCATGTATGTTGAGCTTATATCAAACAAAATGAGCCTGCTTATTTTTTCGTTATACTTCATCAATGAATGAATTTTTAGGTGAGTCCGATATTATCGAGATTAATAATTTTTTTTTTTATTTATTCCCGATCAATGCCTATTGCACAAATCATGTATTGGGTGTCGTTTATCTTATAGAATCAAATAACCGTGTTTTGTTAATTGGTTGATTCGTATATGATATTTTAAGTGAGTTTGCCTTTATGAAAAACAAATGAATCTCTATATTTTGGTTTTAGGTTGTTCTATACATGGAACTTTGGATAAGTTTTATCTTATTGAATTTGATTAATTTCTATATTTGTTTATTCTAGATCGATCCATGCATGGAATTTTAGGTAAGTTCAATCATATAGAACTTAATGAAATTTCTTTTTTTCCTTATAGGCTGATCCAACTACGAAAATAATGAGGTAAGTTCGATCTTATATATTATCTTGTCCGGAAAGTTCGTGGAACTCGTATACTATGAAATCTTAGATTAACAAATACTACATTTATTCAGTGTAATAACCTTCGCTGGCGATTTCACGTTTCCAACGAGCTACGTGTGGCTGTTAGTGAAGGTCATTACATTGATTAGATGTAGTACTTGTTAAGCTAAGATATCATAGTATACAAGTTGCACAAACTTTCCGGACAAGATAATAATACATATATTTATTTATTTCTAGATTATAGTTTGATTCGAATATGAAACTCATCGGTGGGTATTTAATTATCTGGAACTGGTCATGGTATGGATAACATGTTGAATATTTCTCAAAATATGACAATCGTATATATATCAACTCAATCGAATGTAAGTGAAGATAGACTATCGAGTAATTTTTTAGATTATGCAAAATTACTCGATAGTCTATCTTCATTTACATTCGATTGCGTTGATATATATATATACGATAGTCATATTTTGAGAAATATTCAACATGTTATCCATACCATGGCAGTACTAGATGTTTATATGAAATTTCTGACTAGCTGAACCATTAGAACAAGGTTTAGTGCAAATCATTGTGTACGAAACTTTTTTGATATTATTCTGTAAAGGTTTGGTACGAAACCTTTAGTGCGAAACCTTTTGACCTTTTCTTGGTAAAAGTTTCGTACTGAATCTTCTGTACGAAACCATTTTCCCCATGTATTTAGCAGAAGTTTCATACGAAATCTTCTTTTTACGAAACCAAAAAAGGATCTTACCGTGTACCCAGATGAAGATCCTTTTTTGGTTTCGTAAAATACCTTTTTTTTTACAGTGTAGGCACTTATCATTTTGAAGAATTGAATCTTTATTGTATTTTAATACTAATTTTTTGAATTCTAGATATATTGTTCTTTGTATCTTTTCGTTTCAAAGCATTATTTGTATCTGTTCACTTGTTAAAAAAGCAAGCTAGTCTCATTCCTTTTGACAGTTTCCAAAACTTTCTTCTATTTGTATATTAATCTACAGACAAAACGATAAAAAAAACACATAAATAAAGAGGAATTGATTTCATTTCTAAGTAACATTGAACATTCGTTTTATATTAACTAAAATAATGATAGGCATCGATGCAAAAAATAAACATAGTCTTGATACAAAGTATATTTGTTCTGTGTGCTCATTGATACTACGGGATCCTGTACAATTAAGTGAATGTGGCCATCGACAGTGTCAATCATGTTTCGATGCTCAACATGAGTAAGTTTTATTATCAATTTGTAGTTTTATTCTTCATTATTCTTTTTAAAGAATAACAATTAAATGTCGACAATGTCAATCTGAAACATCACGAAGCGAGGTAATATATCTCTTCATAGTTAAAGAGAAAATAAATTTGATTTATGTAGATACTACTTGATCGAGGCTTCAAAAATGATATGAAATCAATACCTATTGAGTGTTCCTCTTGCCAATGGACCGGTATCTTAAATAATTATCAAGTAATTTATTTTAGATTAAATTTATTTATTAAGATTCGATGTTTTTCTTTCAAAGGAACATCTAGATGAACATCATTCAAATTCAAAATGCGAATATTGTGGGAAAGAATTTAACTCAGTTAACAAATACAATGAACATAAAATCTCCGAATGTGAGAAACTGATTGTCGATTGTATATTGAAAGACTTTGGTTGTAATGAACAAGTATGGATGTTTTTTAGATGAAATTGAAATCTAAAAATTCTTTTTTTTGAGATTATTCGTGCCGAACTGGAAGATCATTATATAACTGAACAGCATCAACATGCTATACTGAAAGTTGTTCGTCAAATGTTATCGCAATTAAATGGTAGACAAATGGATAATGATTTTTCTCAAGCAACAACTACAGAAACTAGTAATCCAGGCACAGCTGAATTACAAGAGCTTTATGAAATGCTCAACATCTTGTCAAGTGGTATTGAAACATTGAATAATGACCAAGAACGTCTAAGCAATGAATCACTTCAAATTCAAGTAACAATTCCAACATTAACAGAAGAATTATCAAAAGTTAAATTATCGATTGAAGAATCAAATGGTTTTCTAGAAGGAGTGAAACATAATCAAGACGTTCTCAATCAAGATTTAGCATCAGTGCAGGAAAAAGTCAATGATTTGCAATATGCTTCATATGATGGAACTTTGGTTTGGAAAATTACAAACTTTCAAGAAAAAATGAGTAAGTTGAACAATTACCCTTATTATGAGTCATAAAAGCCGAATATTCTTTCAATCAGATAATCCAATAATACGATGTTATTCGGTTCCTATAACATCGACAAATAATACATATACAATCGAACATTCTATCCAACTTAGTATATAATTACTCTCGAATCAATGTATGATGAACTGTAAATGAGATCGATCCTTTAAATTTCTTTACACTTCCTTCTGTTCTTGTTCACAGAATTATTTTTTTGCTTAATTTCTAGTTGATGCACAGTCTGAAAGACAAACATCTATTTATTCACCTCCATTTTATTCATCTTCAACCGGCTATAAAATGAGAGCTCGCCTTTATTTAAATGGTGATGGAAATGCACGTCGTACACATATGTCACTCTTTTTTGTGCTTATGCGAAGTGTGAACGATCCGATTCTCAAATTTCCGTTCAACTATAAAGTCACCTTCTGTTTATACGACCAGACGCCGGCACAACGACATATTATTGATTCATTTCGACCAGACATTCGATCAAGTAGTTTTCAACGACCTCGATCAGATATGAATATAGCCAGTGGTATACCAAAATTTTTTCCATTGGAAATGATTCAACAGGAGGCAAATCCTTATGTACGAGATGACACAATGTTCATTAAAATTATGGTCGATTTTGGAGACATACCCAAAACACTGTTACCTTATGCTTTGAGTCTCAATCCAGGTGTACCAACTCATATTCAACAAGCAATGATGAAGCAAGAAGCCGAGCGAAGATCTCAACAACGGCCTGGAGAGCAGCTGTAGATAACTCCGGAATAATCTACCATTCAATTTATATAAAAGATTGACTCAATAATCCAGAATAACGAGTGACTCAGAATACACCAATATTTTGTATTTTTTCAACAACTTGGTCAGTTTGATTCGATCTAGGCAATTTTTTTTCATTAGAATTGCCATTCGATGCTCTAAAAACTCTATATAAACAGTTTTTCTAGAGCGAACTATGACAAACAAATAGATCAAAAACTCAAGACGTCTAAAAGTATCAAATTTCCAAGACACATTATTGGAGTTTCCTATGGTGTTTTGGACAGCTGAAACGATGTCCTCTTGTACAGTCTACTCATGTTTCAGTATTTTGAGTTGTGCTCTTTCCGACACACTGCAAAAGAAATACCCCTTGATTAACAATCGCCAGAATAAAACTAGTGTTTTTTAAAGTACCATTAAATGACACTATTCATGTTCTTCTGTGACATGAGGCTATACACAATATACTAGTACTTCAGAGGCATATCCATGCGATAGTAAAGACTCCTAGCTTTGAAATAAAGAAAAAGAAATTTTTGAAAAGCAGATCATTTTTTCGCGGAATTACAAGCATTTTCTTCAAACGAAAAAAAAACTTGAACTAAAATCAGTCTTTTTCGAAAAACTAAAAGAAATGGGTGACTCAACATTTTTTATATATTGCCGCGGAAGTTTTCAAACTCGAACAAATGATTTTTGCTTTTGAAAGTTGATACTTTTAGACGAGCATAGAACGGCAATTCTAATAAAAAAAAAACAAAGTTTTGGTTCCATCGAAGCAAAACTGACGAAGTTATTGAAGAAATCAAATATACTTATTTATCCTAGCCTACCAATCATATATTGTTTTGAATTTGTACTGTTTTTACAATCTAATGTATAACCCAGATATTACTTAAAGTCATTCTTGTTGTTTGATAACTATGCAAAGTTTATTGATCTCTTTTATTTGACAAAATCATTTCTTTGTCAGGTAACAAGAAAATGTTAATAAAACTGATTTGTTTTTGTTTTACAAGAACTACTATTCTGATAGTTTTTCGGAAATTTTTGAAACATTAATGCGTGAATATTATTTGTTTGGTTTTAATATAGAATAAAAGTCAGTTGCTAAACAATACTCCTATTTTGCTTTTTGAAAAATTTCTTTCTATCATTAACATTTAATGATGCATCATATTGACTAATATGGCATCTAATATTGAAACAAGATAACGCTCAACATACGGATTCGCTGACTCTTTTCTGAAAGAAAAATTTAGAAAAGTTCTGGAGAATTTCTCGACAAAAAACATGTTTACTTTTGGTTTATGAATCACATATTCTTATGAATAAATTTATAACCTTTCCTCCATCAACATAAGTGAATAGCATCACCATTTTATCCTATAGTTTTAGACATGAATGTGAATATGCACGAGAACACAGAGAGGACCAATATTCATTTGTATTCAGGGGTGTGGGTGTGGGTGTGGGCGTGGGTGTGGGGTGTGGGTATGGGTATGGGTATGGGTGTGGGTGTGGATGTGGGTGTGGGGTGTGGGTGTGGGTGTGGGTGTGAGTGTGGGTGGGTGTGGGTGGGGTGTGGGTGGGTGTGGGTACGAGTGTTGATTTGATCCGCATCCACACCATCACGCTCACATCCACACCCACAACCACACACTACAGACACCCACATCCTATCCGCACCCATACTCACACCGACACTCGCACTCAATCTATTCATGCATTTGAAGATCTTTGTCGGCTATTTGAATAAATTCATGCGATGTATCTAAATGTCAAAAACGCATACGAGGAACTGTCGATGTCAATATCTGAGCTCATAGTGAGCGAAAGCCTTCTGTTTATGGCATAATGTTGTTTGAAAACATAACAGTTTCGTCAAGGTTCACAATTTTGAATATTCTTTTTTTAAAATGGTAGAAAATTCGAAATTCTCATGTTTTCGTGACTTTTCCATTTTTCAAAAAAGCTTTTGTAAAAACGAATCATTCTCCAGACAATGTGTTCAACTTTGAAATTGGATCAAAACATTTCAACATCCTAGAATACTTAAAGTGCAGTCGGAAAGTTCCAATACGTCCATTTTTATTGTTTAGTAGTGAAGAAATCCATTAGTGTCCATTCAACCGATTGTTTTAAACGCTTTTGACAAGGAAAAAATGTCTTTAAAGGCAATTCTTTCTTCTCTCCACCTGACAACACTACTTCTATGATTTTTAGTTTTCCATCGTTAGTGCATCCACGAGGCATCCCTTATTAAATACCTAGCAGAAAAGAATTTACAATCACTTGAGGGTGAGAATACGATTGAAATTTTTTTTTAAATAGGAATCAAACTATCAGGATTTTCTAGAAAACTCACTAGACATACAAGCAAGTTCCTTTGCAAATATCGGTGCTGTTACGTAGCTTGGTTTTAGACTCTACTGAACAAAACTAAGATTTTTTCCAAAACCAAATAGTTGATGACGAACGTAAATGCTTCAGGTAAAAACTGAGAAACATCTGAATGTCATTTCAGAAAATATTGCTTTTCATATTAACTTGTTGCTGAGTAGTGATTAATTACCGTTCATGAATTCTACAAATACATGTGATTGTCTTACCTTTTTTAGAGCTGTTAGGCTTTGCAGTTTGCTCTTGGATTTCAAGTGACATTTTGTGCCACTGCACGCTCTTGTCGAAGCCACCTTGTATCGAAGCGATGTCAGCGAGCTCGACATACAAACTACGAAGTGAAGGATCACTTGGGGAAAGTTCTTGTAGCAAACGAAGGTAATACTGTTCAGCCAGATAAAGTTTACCCATCGTTCGTAACAATCTAGCCAGTGTCCACAAACTTGTCTCTTCGGTGACATTTTGTCTCTTCATGTGTTCAAGAATGTCTTTCAAATTGTGTTCGTTATCACCACACAAGGACATTTTTATTATCCATATTTGATCGTCATCTTGAGCTATAGAGTTCAGACGGAAAATGGAACCAAGCATAAAGAGTACCTCAGATTCTTCAGTAAATTGGCTAAGGATGCTGATGTCAGCAAATGGTTTCGTGGAAGCCATCTTGGGATCAGCATCAATCTTGAATAGAACTCGTTCTAAATCGATCTTTTGGGTCTTATCACCGATATAGGCATCAGCTACTTCACGCTCCTTAGTGGTCGAAAGAAATGAATTTACAGAAACGAACTACCCAACGTTCTGTTTGAGATAGTTTAGCTCATCAATTGACATTAACTGACTTCGATAAACTCGAATAGAATGCTGAGATTGATGATGCTGCAACTGGTGATAAATGTCGACAATACTGGAGCGATACAAAAAAACCATATGAATATCTTGCTTGCGTAGAGCACCATTCAGAGTTTTGTAGAAGAATGTGTCACAAGTGTACCACCACAAAGCCTGATCAGATGTGTAATGATTTTCAAATTCACGCAGCTTCTTGAGTTCGACATGGTTGTCTTTGTATTCGTTCTCACAAAAAGAAATGAGCTCTTTTCTGTCCTTCTCGTTCGGTTTCAATCGAAGGAGGCAATCGATAAGTAATTGAGAAAAAACGAACTGACCATTAATTCCTGTCGTAGACTTCCCTGCACCGTCACTGGTAGTAAACATGTTAATCGACAATGGTTCTTCCATCTTCATTTGTTTCTTATGATCTGCTTTGATTTGAGAAATTAGCTTGCCCGGTTCAGCAACAATGACTTTCACCTAAACAGACCGAATGACACAACTGAAACTTTTCAGAACAACTCTACCTTGACAAACTCGTTTACCCATTGTTCATCACTTTTCGTGTCTGTGGTATAAACATAGATAGCTGATACTTGTCGAAGTCTATGAATGGAAGGTACCACTTGTCGACCCAATTCACTACTAACAATGAGTACTAGTCGATCATGTTTTGGTCTTTGCTGCATGTATTTTTTACATTCTTCTCCATCTTGAAACTTCTTGAGATGATTGATGATAGGACGCAGTTTTTGTTGTATATCTTGATTCCCTTTTTGGTGAACGTTTGTGTCAAACCAGATAAGACTGAATATTTCAAGATGGTCGTCATCGCCGTAGGTAAAAGAACTACCAGAAGATAGACTAGCTATGGTCATCTAGATAATTTGAAACAATGAAATCGTAGGTCTTCAAAATTTTGTCTAATTAGTATGAAATACGTGTGCACTTTCTTTCGAACATTCACGAAAGAAAAGGAATGTCCTTATGAGAAACATTACCAGCGGAAATGGATCAGCGGCTCGAAAAGGTATTCCTGTTAACGAGGTATGAGTAAAACGAATCTGTGCAAGCAAACGCTCTGGTATTCTCCACGATGAGTTTGCCCAACATCTCTGGCTATACGCGACTGTTCTCTGCCTCACCCTTTTGTGTGACAGTATCGCTACACCTCTTTCCTGAGCAAGTTCGATACGGATGTCACCGTGGCTTTGGAGGAGATCAACCTCCATTTCACCCTTACACCCTGGTGTTTTATTTCTTTAAAAACTGAAATTGATAACTAGAGTGGGAGAAAAAGAGAGATAGACAAATTATGTTAGATATAGACAACATCATAGAATTGAGATGAGTGAAAAGGTCAAATAGAGACGAGAAAGCTACGAAATAATGAATGGATGCGACTGGTAACTGATATACATTGACAAAGCGATCAACTTCAATAGGGTCGACCATCGTTGTCAATATTAACTCATCTCAATGGTTTCCAATATTCTCAATGCTTTCCCGCTAAATTTGTAACATTCAACATGATATCTTTTGCATTTTGATTCTACTTAATAAGTTACTCACTACTGTTAAGTTATTAAATCCACGTTGTTCTTCGTGATTTGAATAATGTGGTACAGTTGATAGAATCTGTTTGCTTGTTTTTTTTTCGAATGATTCATATCTTACTTTTCCAACGTAGTAAACCTTTATCTTCCATTGCTGTTTGTGTTTGCCTCCTTTTTTTAAAGTTCTTATCAAACAAGCACTCTATGGGAAGGAATGCACACAACATCAATAAAACACTCACCGACAGAGAAGACGAAGGGTGATAACAAAGAAGCATAAAGAGAAACTCATCCTTTTTCAATGAGACATTCCAGTGCATGTTTATCCAAGAAGTCTAATTATGATAGTTAATAGAATACAACTGTTCTAAAAAAACTTTTTTTGCACATTATTTCATGCTGAAATATTTCTTTTAGATGGTACAGAGATTGATAATTTTCAGTATAATTTTCATTTGAACATGAACTTCAAAAATATTTACACTACCAAAGAAATATTTAGAAAAAAAAGCTTGATTTATTTTTTATCTGATTTTTATGAGAAAAACCAATATTTTAAAATAGTCTAATGTGAATGCAAAAATCGAAATGACTAGGCCTAAGCTATTTTACACTCTGGTAAATATCAATGATATCCGTTCAAATGCTTTCTGTCGACTGAAAGGAGAATCCCCAAGACTTATGACAAACATAGCAATGTAGACATCGGGTGAACTTTCCTTTTGATATATTGTCATAATCAAGAGACGCTGATCACGGTAAAAATGAAATCTACATTGAAGGAACTCTCTAACAATTTTTTCATAAATCAATCAGTAATCCATACTCTAGTGAATCGAAATTCATGAATAAATAAAACATAGTTAAGAAGGGTTTTTTCTTGAAAAAAAAATCTTGTCAAAGTTCATTATTTTCAACAGAAATTTTATTCGATATGATTTAAGAGAATTTCAATATTAAATATCATTTATTTCGGAAGATATAATACAGACATTTACAAAATAGTACATCGTGTTTTTGTTGAGAAAATCGTTTCATATCAATACGACTTGTTTAGAAAAACTATTCTTTTTCAAGTTATGAAAAAAAATAAGGACTTATTTATCAATAAACGTTTCAAAAATTGACTTTGATTCAAATTTTTGATTGATCATTAACAATAATCAAGATTTGAGTGTGGATGTGGCTAAAGTGAAGATTCACGCTCATACCCACACCCACCCCTTCGATACACTTGAAAGTTGATTTCAGAAATATTTTTCAATTTGAATTTTCTTTGGCTTGATTTTAATCATGAAAAAGAAAAAAAAAAATACTGAATTATTTTCATTTCTCTATTATAATATGAATAAGAAGAACAAAAAAAGAAAAAAAACACAAGACATACATGGAATAAAGTGACAAAAAAAAACGCAAATAATATGTATCAGCGTTACAATTTTAAATGACTGTAGTATGCTATTTTTTTATACTATTAAAAAGATAAATGATTACATTTTATCTTAATTCAATATGGAATTTATTTTTTCGTAAGCACATACACAAGCTAAAGATTTGCGAAAGAGAAAAAAAAAATATATTGTTGCAAGTAACTGTTCGAATATATATGTATATATACAACTTGACAAAATGCTAAATCGAGTATGTAACATGAATAGCTATATGCGGCAAAGACTACAGGAAAAATAAGTCTATTTGGATATGAATATTTATGCATTAGCTGTACGTTTTTTATTATCATTTTCTGACATATTTGTTGTTGTTCGTACAAGTCTAAAGAAAAAAAAAAACAAAACAATTCAATTGATATGAATAAAATCTAAACTTACGGATCATTTGCTTGATCTTGTTCATCATCATCTGAAGAATTTTTCTTGTTTGATTTTTGACGTTTTTCAAAAATTAAGATAATAATTACAAGAACAAGAACAACACTTACAATACCAATAAATGGCCAAAGTGCTGCTAATCGATCTAATAAAACAAAATCAATTAAGAATACAACACTTCTCTTCTTTTCGAATGTTAAAATTAATATTTTTTCGATTATTTTAGTTCGAGAAAAAAATGTCACTCAATTTTTTGTACAAAATAAAGATACGAGATATCGATTCACTTAAATAAACCAACCTTTAACACGTAATAAAACTGTAAATGAAACATCATTGAGTGAACAATGATAATAACCATTATGATTTTTTTTAACTTTTTCAATGATTAATTGATTATCTATTATATTAATTCCTGACGGTAAACTAGAAAATGAATGACCATCTTTACTAAATTTCCATTGAATATTAATATCATTTGGATTATCTTGTTTAGGTTCAATAATACATTTTAAATGAACTGATTTATCTTCACTACGACGTATTGATCCATGAGTAGAATCAATTTTTTCATTAGGTCGATTTGTTTCTATACCTTGTGGTGATGGTTTAACTAATTAAAAACAAGACACATTAAAACTACATTATTACTATTATGAATAAATTGTATTATACGTAATATTGGACCAAATCGACATTGACTTGGTTCTTCATTATCCATTTTGTTTGTTTTAACTTGCCAAACTTTAACATCTGAATCAGATTTTACTTAAAAAAATAGAAATTTATTTTCTTTTTTTTGAAAAAAAAATTCTTTTTTCTTTTACCGAAAATTCTTATTGTAAGAATTGAATGTGTTTCAGTGTGTATAACCGCATAATGACCGGGCTTTTCAGTACTTACAGCTACACCATCTTTATACCATCCAACAAATTGACCATTACCATCCACACCTTTATATTCACATTTTAATTCAAGTGAATGTTTTAATACAGCTGTAATATTAGTTGTTATATCTGGTGTGCCAATATATTGCGCATTTAGATTAAATATTATATTTGATACTAGATAATAAAAAAAAAACATCAAAGTCTTGAACAAGTATTTTTATGAATTACCAATGTCAGCATCCTTTTTATTTCTATAATGTTTCACAGTTCGATAAAATCAAAGATAGTGATTTTAGACATTCAATACAGTTCTCTGTCTAATGCATTCTATATCTAGTACAGAATATTATTTTTTTGTTTTTACTTTTAACTTGTATTTAAAACCTATCTAAATATACATTTCTCTTAATACTAAATATGACATTCAATGAATAAATAGAAACTTTGTCATTAATAAAAGAAAAAAAACACAACATAATGTTATCATTATAGATTATTGATGTGTGATGATGATTTTTATGAAGATAGATCATCTTTATAATATATCATGATCATATCTTATACAACAATGATTATAATCGTATTCAAATAAGTTGTTTCTTTTGTATTATATTGTTTAATAGACTAAAATATCTTATTATTTGATTAGACATAACTATTATCTCTACTAATTTCAAAGTAATAATTAGATGCATCACACGTAGTTCATAAAATATTGCCTACTGTTTGCAAATTAGAAGTCAAAAGAAAATAACGCGCCTATAGCGCATTCCGAAATACATTTTTTTTGATATTAACTCAATAGTTTATCGAGCTTAGTCTACGTGATAAAACTATTAAAATTTGTCATAATTCAAGTATTAAACTTATATTATGTAGTTTTAATACATAATTTATATTACAAAGAAAAACAAATTAAAAACTACATTATTATTCAATTTATTTTTCACTATTTAATAGTATTGTCGATCTGGAGAAGAGCTAAAGGATTAATATTTGAAGAAATTTTCATCTAGATTTAGAATCGGTCAAAAAAAAATCATTGTTTGAGAGAAATGAAAAAAAAATGTATGCTTTTAGATTAATTAGTACCTGTAAAACAAATGATAAGCATTCGTGACGACGTCATGACTTACGAATGAAATAATTGAATAGTAAAAGAGCGAAAAAAAAACAAACGTTCTGTTCTTTTCTTCGTATTGTTTTTGTTATTGTTTACTTTAGAGTTTTGTTTTTTTGTTTTGTAAAATTTTTCTTACATAAAAAAAAAAAATAATAATTTTTTTTGGATTTTATTATTTTAAAATTTATTTAGACAAAAAATAGATTAAATAATTAAAGAAAATATTTTTTACTAACTTGTAATTTGCTTAAAAATAAACCAATGGAATACAAGAGAATAAAGCATATTTGTTGTCAAACTTATCTATCTATTCATAAAAAGAATATTAGTAAATGTCGAATGTTTTATATCAGATTAGTGCATGAATAATGAATGCATATATGAAGAGAATTAGTTCACTTCTTTCATGAGTAATATCTTCATCTTTATCTTTTATATTTTACTTATAAGGAAAAAATCCTTTTTATTTTTTTGTTTTGATAAGAGAAGCGACTAGTAAAATTGCACTCGATTATAAAATATCAAAAGCTTATAAAATTCATTTTCATATACAAGGTCCAAATATTCATGTATCAAGTAGTGGCGTAACCAAGGTAGGATCAGGGGGGCTCAGCCCTACCACCGGTGTTAGCACCGTCAGCTGAATCCTTTCACAAGTCCTACCACCCCACAGGCCTCAGTAACCTGAGCCCTACCACCGGATATTTAAGCGTTGCTGAGACCTACCATCGCCAAAACTCTGGTTACGCCGCTAGTATCAAGCATCAAGATTTTTTTTTTTGCTTATGTTCGCATGATTGAAGTAACATAATCAGTATATTGACTGAATTAGCATGTTAAGAAATCGGTTGTGTTCAAGTATCATTATACGATCAAGGACAAGTCTATAGGGTTGACAGAATTTATGTGCAATAAGAAAATGTCCAATTATTATGATAATGACGACTTATTAATATCTTATTCAGAAACACGATATGAGAGGATAGGCCTATCATTGCTAATATGTTTTATTTAAGTTTTTTTTTCATTTTATTAGCTCATAGAGAATGTGTGATGAAACTTTCTATGTCACATATTACTATCCATAGAGGGAATATTGTAGCAACTCGCTAGTCTAAGGTTGGTATAGATTACAGACCAATCCACTTGACGTACTCAAACGGGTTCTAACTTTGATTTGTTTTTTCTGTTCGTTATGCGTAATAAAAATGAATTTAGGAACATATTTTTTAGATAAAGAATGAGTGAATTATCATCATCTGTTCAAGAACAAAAATCATCATCATGGTTTAGTAATTTTAGTTTACCAACAAATTTAACTAATCAATTATCAAATTTAAGTTCAACAATTATTCAAACAACATCGAAAGTAGGCACTGCTGCTAATACATTTGTTCAAAAATCAATTCAAGAACGATTTTTAACATCTAATGAAAATGAACAACAAACATCTGAAACAATAAAAACAAATAAAGATTTCACTAGTATATGTTATTCCCGTTTTTTAAATAATGTTTTTTTTGTCTCTTATACTTTTTGTAAATTTTTCTTTATTTATATAGGTATTCTTAATGATCTTGGTTCTACTGTACTTAAAAGTGCTCAACAATTAAAACAAGTTGTAGAAGAAAAAACTATAATTGGTAATTTTACAAAAGAACAAGAAAAATTTTTAATAGATAAAAATATTAAACAAAGACATGAAGAAACAGCTGTACTTCCATGGATTGGTTATGAACAAGAAGAAGAAATGAAAAAACAAATTTTAGCTCTTTCACAAGTTAGTTTATTATTAATTGATTAATAAATATCATTGTTCTAGATTTTACTTTCAATTAAATCAAACATAAAAATTCAATACATATTTTCCATTTTGTTGAATATAAAAAAAAACAGACTGTTATTAAACTTTTCTTTTTTCAAAAAATCACGAGTTTATATAAATGAACCGTTGATGACTTGATCAGTACTATTTAGTTATCGATAATTTTTTGTTTATTTAGGAAAAACGTAATTTTCTTCGTAGTCCACCACCTGGAGCTAATTATCATTTTGATATGACAGCTATTTATCCTGTTGCATTAGCTATTCTTGAAGTTGATGAAAATTTAAATCAAATGCGTTTTGCTCTTGTACCAAAACAGTACGAATGTTTTTTTTTAATGTTCTTAAAAATCTCTGTAAAAAAAAAAAAACAAATAAATTTTATATTTAGAATTAATGAAGAATCATTCTGGCGTAATTATTTCTATCGTGTAAGTTTAATAAAACAATCGACTCAATTAACAGCTTTAACAAGTGAAAATGGTAAATTATTATCTATTAATTTTATTTTATTGTTGTATCATTTTAGCAAATACTCCATCAAACAATGAAACACATAATTCATCAAATAAGTCGAGTAAGTCAAAAAAAAAAACAAAAAATAATTTTTTTTTTTTTTTTTGTTAATTTCTAATTTCATACTGGCGAAGAAATGTTCCTAATTGTCAAAGTGATTTTTAACTAGAGTCCTGCAACGGGGTCGGGTATCCGGCACCCGACCGGACCCGAAACTGTGGTCCGGGTACAAATTTGCCGGGTCGGTTCGGGTGCCGGGTATAAAAAAAATGCCGGGTCGGGTGCAGGATTTGAGCATACCCGGTACCCGACCGGTAGTCGATGACATCTTAACAAGTAAAAGTATTTTACACTCTAGGATAGAGTCCTGCAACGGGGCCGGATGCCCGGCACCCGATCGGACCCGGAACTGTGGTCCGGGTACAAATTGTTACTTGATGAAATTAAAATAATAGTATATTTTGCCATATGAAATAAAAGTTTGAAAAGTGAATATAATTTTGACAATAACAATCAAGTGCTGACTATTTCAAGGCTGGGCCGGGTCCGGTCGGGTACCGGGTAGAGCTATCCGGGTCCGGTTCGGTTCCGGGTGGAAGATGACCGGGTCCGGTCGGATTCCGGGTTTGAAAAAAATGAGCCGGGCCGGGTCCGGGTGCGAAAAGTAGTATCCGTGCAGGACTCTATTTTTAACTATCTTAATGAGTAATGAAGCAATCTATTTCGGTTTCGTTTGCCGATCTTTGCTTATTAAATTATGAAGCTTTTACTCTGTGTATAGATCCAGTACTGTACTAATTGACGTATATAAGTCACGTTTGATTTATATTTTAAATAATATTATATTTTTCTTTAATAACATAATTCAAATTGTAGTTAAGTTGTATATTATTCATTTGATTAGATAAATTTACATAAGAGTAAAACTATAGGTTGATTGTTTTTTTTTGTTTTCTAGTTTTAACACATCGAACATCTGAATCACAAGAAAAAACATCTGATATTAATCAAGAATTTGTCAGTGAAGATTATGATACATCAGCTTTAAGTATGGATGATATTCGACGTGAAATTGAAGAATTAACTGTAGCAAAAAAAAATTTAAATAAAACAAAACATAGTAATTCAGGTGAATAATTATCTATTAATTCTTTATATAAGTATTTTTGTTTTTTTAGATTTAGATGAAAGTGAATGGGATAAAGGATTAGCTGATGAACTTGAAAATGTTACTGCTGAAGAACTTGAAGCACAAATTAATGAAATATTAAGTGGCACTACTAAATGAGAATTGACTTTTTTTTCTTTTTATTTTGATTTTAAAGAGATATCTTTTTTTTTTTGTATACAATTAATGAGAAAATTGATGGATGTAATTGTAATCTTGTATATCTAAATATATTACAGCTATGATTTATTTTAAAATAAAAATAATGACGGTGCAGGTAGATATATATATATAAACTAAGCATATTTATGTTTTTATAGGCATATTACAAGAAAAAAAAAGTCGATATGTCAACTAGACAAACTGGTGTGTAATATTTAAAAATCATAGAATGTTGAAAATAAAACAAATTTTTGTTTATTTTTCATAGCATCAACTCGTAATAACAACAGTGTTGAAAGTGTGTTACATTTTGTTTTATGTAAAATTATACATTGTATTGAATTTTAGAGAATAAAATGAAAACAAAATCAAAAATTGATGAGGGTCAATATTGATTAGCAACTTTGGTTTTTGTTTGTTTATGAATTAAAATTTTGTTTTTAGAACCAATACAAAATACAAAACGTCGTCGAATTGAAAAAAATAATATTCAACAAACTCATATAGAATATGATTCATTAGAAAAATATGGATATCATTTTAAAAGTAATACTAAATTTTATCAATTTTCAGCAATCATTTTAAAAAGGATGCTATTAGAAATTTTCTTAATATTTAAGATAATTATTTAATAGAAAAAAATAAAATTAGTTTGCAATAAATTTTCTTTTTTCTACAGCAACATAGATTCGATATAACGATTAGATTATAGTGAGACTCGTATATTTAGAATAAGTATACACATTTTTTTTTTATTGACTTTTATGTTCTCAATGCTTTATAGTGTACTTTTTCATTCTTTAAATTATTAGAAATATATCTCGAATAATTATACTTGTTGTTACTATAGTTGTATTTTTTATTTTTTGTTTATTTAAATAGAAGGCAAACTGGTCTCAATTGAAACTGGTAAACCATTTAAATTCGATGTGTTTTCAGATCAAGAAGAAAATCAAAAACGATATGAATCAATTGGTAAATTAATTGATAATGCTGTATATGAATTACTTGAGAATACATGTCAATTACAACGTGTTATAGTACCAGTACGTTCATTGATTAACAGAAAAAAAATTAAAATTATTGAAAGAAATTTTTAAAGGTTGATGCAAAAAAAGGTGAACATACAAGTTTTATTTTTATAAGTAATGATTTATCAACTGCTGATTATCTGATGGTAATTATTCATGGTACAGGAGTTGTACGAGCTGGTCAATGGTCTCGCAAGTAATACATTGCTTCATTGAGTGGTTTTTTTTGGTATTTTACTTTCTATTAGATTAATAATCAATGAAGGTTTAGAAGTTGGTTCTCAACTGGAATATATTCAACGAGCTCGAGCCGCTGGTTATGCTATTATTGTTACTAATACTAATTTGAATAGTTTTGAATCTCCTCGATTGCTTCGTCGTTCAGCAATATGTTCTATTCGTGTACGTTTTTATTTTTGTATATTTGAACTAAATATTTCGTAATATAAATTTTATTATTGAAAAATTCTAAAAGAAAACAAGCATGTTTTAGTTCGATTTACATCTATGAAGAAAATTTATATTCATATAGTGCATTTTTATAATAAATAAACATATAAATTATTATTAAACAATTATAATATAATTGTTTATTAAGTTTCTTTTTTTTTTTTGAATTTTTTAGGGTAGTGCCAGTGCTGAAGAACATGGATGTTATGTATGGGAACATTTTATTCATCCGAGTCATGCTAAATATATTTGTATTATGGCACATTCATATGGCGGTGCTGTAGTACTTGAAATGGTTTGATGAATATTTTTTTTTTCTTCAATTTCTTTTTGATATCTTTGTTTTATTGTCTAGGCTCATCGTTTTCTAAAAGAATTTGATAAAAGAGTTTTTGCTGTTGCATTAACAGATTCACCTATGACAGTTTATGGACGACGAGTTAAGAAAAATGTTTTAAAAATGCTTAAACAGGTTTTATAAAAGTTTTTTTTTTTTTTTAAATATAAAACTAGAAGAATGAAAAGAATTTTTTTTTTTAGAGAACAATTAATTGGGTTGTTGATACAGAAGAAGTAGATACTGATTTAGGAGAAGATGATTGTTCACAAATACGGTCTGCAGGTAAATAAAAATAAAAAGAAGAAAATATTAAAACATTTTTTTTGTAATTTTTAGGTCATAGAGTACATGAATGGACATCATATACAGCAATTGATGCAATTTTTGATTTTTTTACTGAAGAACGTCGAAAACTTAAACGAAATTAATGATAATATTCATTTGTGATATAAAAAAAAAAAAAGATTGAAAATTTTGTTTTTGTGTTAAATATTAATTCAGAAATATTTTATATATATTGATTGTCTTAGATAAATATACTTCATTTTTAGATGGTTAAATCGACAAATCGACCAAAATATTTCATATATTATTAGTTAGAAAATATAATCTATTAGATTTATTGTGAACTTGTTATATATTTTCAGAGTGGTTTTGATGAACGTCTTGATAGTCTTCGTGCTGATGTTATTGTTGTTATTGATGATGTTGAATGTAAGTTTATTTCATGAATTTATTTTATTAAATTCTTTTTTTGTTTTTTTAACAGCATTGGAAAAAGAATTTTCTGAACGATTTAATATGCCTGTTCGATATAATTTAACAAATACACGTGGTTTTTCATTAGAAATTATTGGTGAATTTAAAGGTATTTTACCAACGAATGTTGTATCAGTAGCTAAAAGACAAAAATCAACATTTATTACAACACTTCAATTAGCTCATTTATCTGATCGATTTGAACTTTTATATAATGATATATGTCTTCTAACAGATCAGTAAGATAAATAATGCTTTCATATTTTTTTTACGATATGATTCTAACAAATAAATTTCAATATATTTTAGAATTATTTTAATTCTTCTTGGAAAAATTCGACCACATTTTGGTTGTATGTATAAACTTGTTGAAGCAATATCAATTATTGATATAATTCAATCATTTGCTGAAGTATCAAAAGCACGTGATTATATTCGACCTATATTTGGATCAAATACAAAAATAATTAAAGCACGTCATCCAATAATTGATTTATTTGGTCAACAAAAACCAATTCCTAATGATATTGAATTATGTAAAGAAATGAATGTTATTCTTATTACGGGACCAAATATGAGTGGAAAATCAACATATTTACGACAAATAGCATTATTACAAATATTAGCTCAAATTGGTAAAAAAAATAAAAAATAAAATATTTATTTGAAAATTATTTATATATTTAAAGGTTGTTTTGTACCTGCTGAACAAGCTCGATTTCGTATTGTAAATAGAATTGATGATTCTTTTTTTTATTCAATATAAAATTCGTGTCTCCTTGATTGCGGGCAATTTTTCTTAATTGGAGGAAAAATATGTCCGCAAAGTAGAATCAGGGGGTATAGACAAAAATGACCGCATTTTGAAAATTGTCCGCAAAGCAGAATCGAGGCAGAGAATGAAAATGTCCGCATTATAGAATCAAAAAAAAAGTAGAAATAGTAAGAAAATTAGTACATACAAATCGATTCTATCGACGCTAATACGTGATGATTCGATTAGAACAGGAACACGCACAACAATGAACAACTCGTCCAAAAAGGTTAACTTCAGTTAATAATGAAAATATTTTAGTACAAGCAACAGAAGATTATTTAAATGGTCTACTAGATTTAGATGATTATCAAAAAAGACTACGTTCTCTTTGTTACCGATACATTCACATATTTGATACATCTGACAAAGATGACGAAGATTATGAACCAAAGCATAGTTGAATGTTGAATCATCTCGTACTACTTGTATCTTTCTCTTTCCTCACATAATAAATTTTTTCTTGATTCTATAATGCGGACATTTTCATTCTGTGCCTCGATTCTGCTTTGCGGACAATTTTCAAAATGCGGTCATTTTTGTCTATACCCCCTGATTCTGCTTTGCGGACATTTTACCTTAATTGGTTAAAAAAAGTGTCCGCATTGTAGCTGTAGCCATAAAATTTACAAAAAAATTTTTTAGGTCAATGAAATTTTTTCAAAAATTCGTCAACATGATAATTTATTTATGGGACAATCAACATTTTCATCTGAAATCAATCATATTGCATTTATTCTTAATTGTATGACATCAAATTCAATGATTATTCTCGATGAAGTAAATACCAGACAATTTTTCCATATAGTGAATATTCAAGAGATTTGCTTTTTTTATTGTCGTGTTAAAGAGTTTCAATATTGATTAAATTTCGCTGATAAGAAAACGTCAATTGTGTAGTATATAATTACGAAGGATAGCTCTATTCGAGAGAAAAATATTCAATTGTATTGAATCCAAAAAAAAAGAAAATATTTTTCCATCTGATTTTTAGATTTGTTCAAGTACATCAACAAATGAAGGTATAGAAAAATAAAATAACAAAAATAAAATTTTGTTTTGTTAAGGTCTTGCTTTAGCTACAAGTATAACTGAAACATTATGTCGTTCAGAATCATTTGTTATTCTAGCAACACATTTACAACAATTAACATCTATTGGTTATATATATCGAAATCTTGCTAATTATCATTTTGATATTATTTATAATGATAAAATTCATAGTGATATTGATAATGATTCAATAAATCGTTTACATCATTTTCAATCACAAACTATATTTGATCAAATAAAAGAACAAAATACAATTATTTATTCATATATACTTCGACCGGGTATATGTAAAGATCTTCATTATGGTAAAAAAAACAAAATGTTTTATTCTATTTCAATAGAATTTAATATTATTTTTAGGTATTACTCTAGCTTCACAAATTGAAGATTTACAAACAGTTGTAGAATTAGCTAAATGTATAGCAAAATATTATATGCGAAAGAAAGAGGTATTTTTTTTATCTTATAGAATTTTCTACTATAGTATAGTTTATAATTAATTTTTATACTGACGTATATATATATATACATATATAACATAATCTTATCAAATTATATTCTTCAATATTATCAACATTAATTATTCTTTCTATCTATGAAACTAGATATCTTGACATATATTAATAAAAAAAAAATAAAAACAAATTTATCAATAGAATATTCTTGAAATTGATATCTGAAAGGTTATTCTGTTATTATTATTATTAAAAACAAGAAGTTGAAATAACATCTCGTTTTTTTTTTCGTAGAAAATATTAATTGATATATGTCAAAATCTATATAACTATATAATAGATATATCAGTATGTGTAAGATATAAATTGATAAAGATGTATGTCAAATTGTAATGTCAGAGTCGAAAATTTTTCGAACTCTTAGTTTTATTCTAAAGTAAATAATTCGTAAATAATAAAAAATTTATGATTTATATTTTTACTATTTGAAATCTTATTTCTTGTTTTTTTTTTTTTATTAATTTCAGTCAATTATAAATCAAATATCAAATATTCCAAATTTATTAATGAAACGTGTTATAATAATGAAAAGTTTCTGTGATTTAATTTATGATATATCAAATAGTACAATGCAATTTATTGAACAACAACGTATTTATCTTGAAAATTTTCAAAAACGTATGCATCAATATTGGACAACATCATCATCACATGATGATGATGATAATAATATTTTAGTTGAATCAATTTCATCACCTACAATTGAAAATAATTAAGATTTTGTAAAATTTGGTGTTTTTTTTTTTTATATATGTAATGATAATCATAGATATAGAAAATAAATAGTAATTATTGATGTTATTTATTAAATTATTTTATCTTTTATGAATTATTCTACAATTGAGAAAAGATACTATGAAACCAATGTTGTGTTGTTCTAGTCGAAGCTATCAAATTACTACTACCAGTAACAGAATTGTTCTAATAAGTCTAATACTTTTCCGCCCTTCTGTAGATATGCAACTGTAGAATTCATTAGACATATCTTATCAACAGTTATAAAGTAGTACAATTTGTTTTTGTTTGATATGACCTTCTACTCAATAGAAAAGCATGAAAGTATTCGTATTTCGATCTCAAAATTTATGTGTTTGTTGTTTTTTTTTCTCATATAATATATTTAAATCAAAAAATGAATTATACCATTTGTTACTGTTCGTAAACACTTTTTTTTTAATCAATGCAAAACATACAATTGAATGTATAACAGTATGTTTTATGAAATTCAATCATGAAAAGATAATATAAAATCTACATTCGAGATAAATATAGTACAAAAAGATAACAATGTTAAAATAGACAAGGAAATATATCAACATCAAAATTATTTGTTATTGCAATTAATGTCAACAAAAATTATATCATTAGAATATATTGCTATTCTGAGTTTTAATTATGAGAAACGATGTATAGAAAAATTTCCGTTTCTAGTATTATCCTTGTAGATTTATCTGGTAAGCAGAAGATACCAAGTTCGATTTCTTGTAAAAAAAGAAGTTGTTTCTTTTTTATTCTCTTCTATTATCATCCTTCTCATTAGCACAGAAATATTTCGAAAAAAAAAAACTAATGACATAGTGAATAACAATCAGATTTTAATATCTTCAAGCTTTTACACTTCAACTATGATAGAAAGTAAATTATCTGATATATAAAATTCAATTCATATTTATATTTTCTTCGAGCGAATGTTATCTAATGTGTAAATGATTATTTTCAAATAATAAACAACATACTTTTTTATTAATGAAAAAAAAAAACTCTAAGTATCATTAGATGAATAAATCGACCTATATATATATATTCTCAAGCATATTGTCTGTTGTTTAAAATTCTTTCTTCTTTTGTTAGTAAATAACATATGTCATTAAATTCTTCATTTATCATTGTCAACTAGTAGTGTAAGTCATAGTATTTGTTTATTTCTAATGTGATCAAATTTTGTAGTTAGTTGCCAATTCTTTCGTTTTTTTTTACTATTGTTAGCTTCTTGACAAAGTACTATTGTCAAGGTTATTTATCTTCTTTTGAGTTGCCGTGAGTCATCAACGCTATTTCCCATTCATCATAATCGATTAGAATGAATCAAAAAGAAGATAAAGCAAAAAAAAAATGTTCTTATATCTTATTACTTATTCAAATGAACGCATGAATAACAACTAATGACTCTACACCTTTAGGATAGTATCTAAGACAAGTCATACATAATGTGTAACAGCTATTCTCAGGGTTAAAAGTATATAGCTGATGATTTGATAAGTACTTAGTATAGATATATAATCGATTC